AAGTAAGCCAGTATCTTTACAACTTTAAACACTTGTTTCTTACTACCAAATTTGTACCAGAGTTTCAGGTTCCTCGGGGCTGCAAACCTTGGCTACTTTTTCCTGCTAACCAGGTTCCTTTCTATCAACCCAAAATATATTGCTAACTAACTGGCAGAGAGATTTCCCTTGATCCTACTCTGTTTGAACATCCTCTGACTCACCCTTCCTAGTGCCACCCAAGTTTCATCTGCACCATTGCTTACATATAATACAAGTACTTTATTTACTCTAGCATTTGTTAATGTTTGCTCAGCTGTCTTGGTGCCTTTGTGTCTTTCACCGTGCTTTTAATTAGCTCGGCTGATTCTAAGAGTGGAGGTAAACCAAGGTTTGAACCAGGTGGTTACAAGGAACATGGAGATGGGTTGCAGGTGGGGGATGGCAGATTGCTATGAATGCACTAGTGCAAATTCATTGATAGCCTAGGGAAAAAAAAATGTATTTTAGGCTAATGCCTTCTACTGGGAAAAAATAATCTAAGCTACTCCTTTCTACTAATAATGATTAAGTAGTGGAGTCTTTGGGAAGGATCACATTTTGCCTTACTGATACAATCCGAAGTCAACACCAAGCTACCAGAGGACAGGAACTCAATGATGGTTTACATAGTGACGTGGTCTAGCTGCATGAGTTAGTTATTCCCATCAGGCACTAATATTTAATGACTACTTATAAGACTATCACTTCTGTGGCCTCTACTTTTATCTACCCAACCTCTGACTTTGCACAAGTTGTTCTCTGCCCCCACTTGTTTTTCTCTACTCCCAGTCTTGCTTCTGTCTCTGCATGGCAAATTCCTACTCATTTATTAAAATTTAGTCTTAACTTTACCTTTTAAGGGTGAAGCTTTGTTTGGCCCCAGTGACTGTGCCTCACCCTCCACCTCATCCAATTTGACAGAATTAAGCCTTGCTTCTTTTCTGTTTCCATGGCACAAGTATAAATTTCTACCAAACTGCATTGGGATTAACTGTTTACATGTCTGCTTCTCTTTTATTCTCTTTTGACTCCTTGGTATTTAGTACAACACCTGGTATAGAGTAGGCGCTTGCTAAATGATTATTGAATGCTATGTAAGTGTGCATAGTGACCAACGCCCAAGCATTTTCCTTAAATAGCAGTCAGTAGTGCCGAGACTTTTCAGATGGCCTATGTATAGCCTTTTAAAAAACCTAATTCAAGAATTATAAAATACTACATAGAGATACCCAGGGAATCTGGAAGGCTTTTCCTGGGCTAGGAATAATAGGAGGGGCTCTCTCGTGTTTTTCTCTCTCCCTCTTGCCAAGTCTTGGCTCATTTTAAATTCATTTCTCATTTTCTAATTTCCTCTTACAATAAATACAGAGGGAGAAAAGGATCAGGTAAAGGCTCATTTATCTAAGTGTCTGGGTCATGTGAAGTGTTGAACACTCTGCTGTTGAAGCACTGCCAGTGTCCAATCAAGGTTTTTGTAGGGCTATTGCAGCCCAGCTCTGGGCTGTGTTCCTTTCAGAAAATTCAGAATTCAGATGAAGCTAGGAAAAGATCGCAAACAATACAAAACAATAAAACCACTACTTTATTCCCCTGGGCATTCTGTGTCTTTTAAGGGTCTGTCCCTTAAGCTGGATAATATCTCCTCTTTGAAGGCTCTCCTGCTCTGCACCCTCCCTTCTAGTCCACTCCCATCTAGCAAGACAGTGAACTGCTATACTCTTTTCTGTGCTGACACTGGGATCTTATGAATAATAATAACAGCTGTCTCGGGGACCTTTATTTTTGGCAGCCTGTGCATGGTCTCTTTTGCTAGGTAGCTATGATTATTGTTTCCTTATAGGCAGGGAAACAGAGGCTAAGAGAAACCAAATAACTGGATATAGGCACAAAGTAAGTAAGCTATGGAATATGAGACTTGAATCTAGGTCTGCCTTCTCAATCTAGGCTTTAAGCTTTTCTTCCTCACAATGTTCCAGAATTCCCCGGGCTGCTATAACCATTCTAGTTTTTTTATTTTTCTTAGAGTCAGGGTGTCACTTTGTTGCCCAGGTTGGTCTCAACCTCATGAGCTAAAGTGATCCTCCCACATTGGCCTCCCAAAGTGCTGGGATTACAGGTATTAGCCACCGTGCCCAGCCTGCTTTATTCTTTTTTTTTTTTTGAGGAGGGATACTCCTCCACCCTTTTTTTAATCTTAAAAAAATTTAGGCCGGGCACGGTGGTTCACGCCTATAATCCCAGCACTTTGGGAGGCCAAGACAGGCGGATCACGAGGTCAGGAGATCGAGATCATCCCGGCTAACACGGTGAAACCCTGTCTCTACTGAAAATACAAAAAAATTAGCCAGGCGTAGTGGTGGGAACCTGTAGTCCCAGCTACTCCGGAGGCTGAGGCAGGAGAATGGCGTGAACCCGGGAGGCGGAGCTTGCAGTGAGCCGAGATCGCGCCACTGCACTCCAGCCTGGGCGACTGAGTGAGACTCCATCTCAAAAAAAAGAAAAAAAAAAAATTAAACACATGTTGTTGTATATATTTAAAGTATACCACATGATGTTATGGGATAGTCAAAAGGTCACTATAGTGAAGCAAATTAACAGAGCCATCATCTCACACAGTTATCCATTTTTTTTTTATTGTGGCAAGAGAAGCTAAAATCTACTCATTTAGCATGAATCCCATATGTAATAAATTTTATTGCCCCTCCACCTTTTAACACCCTGGGACTCATACTTCTTTCCTTCCCAAAGGCTGCTGATCCCCATCTTCCCACCTCATTCTGGCAGCTAACCACCTCTGTTCTCTCTCCAGCCCTATCCCCATATTAGCTCAGGATGAGCACTTTAGGGAAGAACCTCAGAATCCCAGACAAGTGAGAGGAGCCGAGCTGCCCAACACTTGTAAGAGATGGTGCTAAACAGGAGTTCAACACAAGTCTGAGCAACATAGTGAGATCCCATTTCTTATAAAGTTAAAACATTTTTATAAAGAAAAAAATAAAAGCTCCAGACTTGGAGCTAAGTCTACTCTCTCTTTTTTTAAAGACAGCGTCTCGCTCTGTTACCCAGGCTGGAGTGCAGTGGCGCAATCACAACTCACTGCAGCCTTGACCTCTTGGGCCCAAAGGATCCTCCCATCTCAGCCTCCCACATAGCTGGGACCATGGGTGCACACCACCCTGCTGGCTAATTTTTTTTATTTTTGTAGAGACAGTCTCCCCATGTTGCCTAGGCTGTTCTTGAACTCTTTTGCTGAAGCAATCCTCCCGCCTCTGCCTCCCAAAGTGTTGGGAGACTGTAGACAGACTGTATGCTTATTGTTTAGAGATGGGGGCTTGCTGTGTTGCCCAGGCTGCACTTGAACTCCTGGGTTCAAGTGCTCCTATCCTCCTGCCTCAGCCTCCTTAATAACTGGGATTACAGTCAAACGCCACTGTGCCCAGCTGAGACTGCATCTTATCCATCTTACTCATTGCTACCATCTGGTTCAAGCCATCATTCTGTACCTGGGTAATGGAGCCTCTGGCTTCCACCATTGTCCTCTTAGGTCTGCTCTTAGCACAGCGGCCACAGTGATCTGACCAGAGTGATGTTTTGAAAGCGCAAGTCAGATCCTATCACTCCTCTGTTCAAAGACCAGCAGTGGTTCTGTTTCAGCCAAGATTCTTACAGCTCCCTACTTGAGATCCCTCTCTGATCTTATCTCCTCATTCCGCTCCCATTTGCTCACTGCTCTAACCGTCCTGGCCTCCTCATTCTTTCTAACACTTCCCGAGGCTTTTGTCTCAGGGCCTTTCACCAAGGACACTCTTCCCCAGATAACTGCATGGCTGACCCCCTCAGCTCTTTCAGGTCTCCGATTTAAAGTCATTTTATAAATGAGGCCCATGCTGACGGCTCTATTCAAAATTGCAGGCCAGGCGCGGTGGCTCACGCTTGTAATTCCAGCACTTTGGGAGGCCGAGGAGGGCGGATCACTTGAGTTCAGGAGTTCCGCGACCAGCCTGGCCAACATGTTGAAACCCCACCTCTACTAAAAATACAAAAATTAGCTAGGCGTGGTAGCGCGCGTCTGTGATCCAGCTACTAAGGAGGCTGAGGCAGGAGAATCACTTGAACCCGGGGTTTGCAGTGAGCCGAGATCGTGCCACTGCCCTCCAGCCTGGGCGAGGGAGCAGGATTCTCTCTGAAAAAAAGAAAAAAAAAATTGCAAACCCCCTTCCTCCAGTTTTCTTCATACCCCTTATCCTGGTATATTTTTTTTTTCCCCATAGACCCAATGCCTTCTAACATATTACATAATTTTCTTACGTTTATCATCTTTCTCCCTATATTAGAATGAAAGCTCCAAGAGGGAAGGGTACTTGTTTTCTCTCTCCTGTTTACTGATACATCCCAAGCACTAAAATGGTGTCTGGTAACCTTAGTAGTGATTGGCAAATATTTGTTGAGTAAATGAGTACATGAACCTTCAGAATCTTGCTAGTCTTATAAACAAAAGGAATATGTGAGTACTTTGAATCTCCAGTGCCTAGAAATGCTTGACCAAATGGCAAGTGTTCAATATTTACTGAAGGAATTGTGTGCTCAGATCTGCTGGAGTTTATCTGAACCCTTTGAGGCTATGTCACAAAAGTACCCAGGGCCACTTCACTCATGCCTCTCCTTTTCCTCTCATCCAATCAGCCCAGTATTCATCTAACAAATATCTAAGTCTCCAAATATTGAGCCACCCAATGTGAGTTCAAAAGCGTGTTTGGTGCTGCAGGGGAATACATGACTAACGCGAATGAAGCAACAGCAAATACTACACTGGAATGTAATTAAGTGTGAAATTATAGGGCAGACTATCAGTGCTAATAGTTTAGAGAAAGAATCAGTGAAGACTGACGTAGAAGTAAATTCCAAAGTTCACTAGTCGACCAAACTACCCTTCTAAACGCTCCACCTACTGATAGTACGACCATAACCTGGGTAGCTACCTTGAGAGTCAGAAGGGCCTTTAGAGTTCCAACTCCTTTAAGAAAGAAAGTAAGACCAGGCACGGGAAAGGCCTCCGCAGACATGAGAATAGCACCTGGGGCTCAAGAAGTTCTGAAAGGAGGGGTGTCCTGAAGGTCCAAGGCGCCTTTGTTGGGGGTCCCGGAATCCACGGTGTGCCAGAAAAGGCGTCCGGTTTCCTGGAGAGGAGGCTAAAGTGCCGGGCGCTTCGGTGAGGTGGCGGAGGTTGGGGGGCGGGGGAGGACAGGAGGCACCATTTCTTCGGAGCATGGGGCCCCAGGTCTCCGCGGGCAGGGTCCAAAGCCACCGATCCCTACTGTCCTCAACTGCGGGGTTGCTTCCGCTGCCCTTGCTCCCCAGACGCCACTCCGAGGCACAAGGACCCCAAGTCGCTTGGAACTGCGGGCCACCAGATGACACTCGCTGAGCCGAGGCCCCGGGAGTCTCAGGGCACTACTTGTCCCAGCGGAGGGATCCCGCGTGCGTCGAAGCGGCCGAGGACGCGCAGGGACTTGACGCCGCCGACGCCGGGCCGGCGGCGCTGCGACGTCGCAGGAGGAGGTGGCGCGAGGGCGGGAGGGGGATGTGGGTCGGGAAGTAGTTCCGGGTGCGCGGCCCCGGATGTTGGCTGCTCCTGCTGCCGCCGCCGCTCTCGGCGCTGCTCGGGGCCTCGACCGCTCGCACTAGGCACCGTTGGGACCTTTCCCGGGGGGCGGAGACGCACGCAGCGGCCGGGGGCTCGGCCGGGCCGTCCCGGCCTGCGCAGCCTGAGGTAAGTGCCCGCCGCCCGGGCGGCCGGGCCTGGGCGGCGGGCGAGGAGGCGGGGCTGGGGCATCTCCGAGGACGGAGGCAGGGGCTGCCCTCCGCGAGACGCCCTCTCTCATCTAGTCGCAGCCGCGCTGTAGGGTGGGCGGCGGGCGGGGCAGGGGGCCTGGGCCCGGGCTGGGGCCAGGCGGGCGCTGAGGGCTGGGTCCCTCCCTCCCCCGCGGCGCTTCTCTTCAGCTGCTGCTGCCCCTCAGCCGGGAAGCAGCGGCTCCGCGTTTCCCGCCCCTCCCCCAGGCGGGGCCCCGGGGAACCAGCCGTGGATCCCGGGGGCGCCTAGTCCGAGGGCAGCTACCGTCTCCTTCCATCCATGACCTGTCCCCTGGCCGGGGTAGCCCCCGGCCCCGGCAGTCTGCGGCTTCTTCCCTTCAAGCTTGGGGGCGCTTTTCTGCTGGCCGGGCGGGCTGTAACTCACGCCTCGGGGTGGCCCTTTGGGGTGAGGAGGCCTTTGCGAGGGTGTCTGCGTTCCCGCCCATCCTGTGTCTGTGTCCTTTGCTGGGATTAGGGCAAAGGCAGACGTTCCATGCGGACGTGTTGCTGTCCTGTGTGTGTTGCATCCTGCCCACGTGGTAGAGTGTCTCCCGCCCCCCCCTCCCAGCTCCATTTTTGCAGCTGGTGGGTGAGGAGGGAGGTTAACGGGATGGTTTTTCCTCTGTGATTTCCTCCCGGTGGCATGGAAGGTGTTAGGATCAGTTTGCTTTGCCGAGGCCGACTGTTGGTTAGATGAAGAATCAAGAGTTGTACTCTGAAATTGAGGCCAGTAGGGGACATAACAGGGCTTAGTTTCATTAACATCTTTTCTCCTCTTCCATTAGCTGCTCTTACTTTTTCCTCTGTTGGTTAATCATAGAGAATAAGCGCTTGCTACGGATGAATTCAGGTATATAGTTTTCATTTCTCGATTTTACCTTTTATGTGTCTGGTGAGCAAAGGTTTTGCTATTCCGTGTTGGTGCATTCCGCGTCTGTGTTGTCCCTAGTTGGATTCCTGAGTGAGTTAGAGCCATTCACTCTAATTCCTGAAGGAGTTAGAGATTGGTGGGCACCTTTTTGATCTTTTTCTGAGATTTATTTGTGTTTGTTTTCCTCCGTTTTGTTTCCCAGTGAAAAAGCGTGATGTCATAGGAGCGTTATATGCACAGCTCTTTTTCTCACAAGGCAGCACTGGTTTCACCTTGTCACTTACTTTGTAGAAACTCTTTTACTTCACTTTTCCCCTTACTCTGTTGACTACCTATTGCACTCTCTTTTTTGAAACTGGTTTGAAACATGTTTTGAGTAGTTTTTTTCTTAATGTCTCTTCCAGATTAGGGTTTTCATCTTCTGTTTGGCTCTTTTGAGACCACAGATTGTTCCCGCAGTAATAGTGAGAGAGACCTAGTCCCCCTGGTCCCTAGCAAATATTTATAGAAAAACAGTAACTTCTCTCTCTTTTTCTGAGTGACATATATTATATAGATGTGATTAAATGTTTTAGTTTCTTAAATAGGAGGATTTCTCTTTTTGCTTTTGTGTCTCAGAACTGAGGTGAATCTTCTTGATTTTGTGCTGCTGAGGACGAAGCTGGGAAGTTTCTCATGCTTTCATTAGATTTTTTTTGGATGAGGCTAGAACTTGTTTATTTTGGCTCTTTTTTGTTCATTAGTTTGGGTAAAATAGAAAATCTTAATGTTTCAAAGCCACTTACTAGATTCCAAAGTGTCCTGAATTCTCACTTTGCTTTTCACATTGTACATTCTTTGAGTATATTTTTGACTTTTTTCTCCTTTTATCTGGTACAGTTCGTATATTCCCTTTCGTTCTATGTAGAATGAAAATATTTAAATATAGATTTTAGATTCTGTTTGCTTTCATTATGCTAAGTATGGGTGGGGCAGTGGAAAATAGAGAATGTTGTTCTGATACATACAGAGGCTTTTTTTTTTGGTAAGTCAGCATTTGTGTACTTCTGTAAAGTTCCATGTTATCTATGTGTGAAGTAGTCTGTATGAAGAGACAAATAAGATATGCGGTCTCTTGGAAAGCTTCAACTTATGTCGAAAGAACAGAGTTGTTTTTTTTCTGTTGGGGAAACATGTACATCATTCAGAATTACCAAACTGCATTGGACTTCTCCTTGGGATAACAGTACAACCAAAGTCAAAAGTGTAAGTGACATTTGAGAAAAGATACAAATTTCCAAAGGGGAAGAGATGTATTTCAGGAGAGCGAAGGGGCCTGTGCAAAGCGAGAGAAGTGGCAGTGTACAAATGATATCAAGGAACTTGACTGTCAGATCATCTGTGTTGGTGAATAATAATAAATGAGTTTAGGATTGGTAAGGGAGGTATTGGTGGAGGATCTTTCAAGGATAGAGGGTTTAGTTTGATAGGGTACCACAATGGATTCTAAAGAATGAGAGTAAGATGATACATCTTGTTCCTGAGGAAGGTTTTTGTATCAGTTGAGTGTCCTGAGAGTGGAGAGACTGATTAGAATGCTCATGGAGAATTTTAGAAATAAGATGATGAGGGTGTGTTATAAGATAGTGGTTGTAGGAAAAAAATAATAGCTAACGTTTACTTACTGTATGGCAGATGTAGTTCTAAGCGCCTTAAATGTGTTTAATTCATTAAATCTTCATAATAAGGTATTAAAATCAGAAGGGACTTTGGGCAAGTTACTTAACTTTATGCATGTAATTATTTCCATATACAATGAACAGTTAGATGAAAGGTAGATTTTGCATTGACCAGGGATATAGATGGTGGTAAAATAGATGTGTTTTGGGAGGATAGTAGTATAATGAAAAAAGAGCTTTGAGGTTTGGAATTTTGGGTCCTGTAATAGGCTGATAGCATTCTGAGAAGAACCAGAAAGTGCATCAGTTTCACAGAAGCCAAGGAAGATTTTCTACAAAGGTGGAGTTTGACAGTTTCAAATGCAGAGTAGAAGTTCAGAAGCAGTGGCTACAATGAAAAGACAATTGAATGAAACCAGAGGAGATAATTTGTAACCTTAGAGAGAAATTTGAAAGGAAGGGTAAGAATAGATGCCAGATATGTTTTTCACAGGATTTGTAGAGACATTAGGATCTGGTGTGGTAATTCTTAGTATTTCCTTTTAAAAAGAAACAAACTTATGTTCCAAAGCTGGTGATTCTATACTTTAATGCTTCTCTCCTTAAACTTTTATTACTCTTAAAAAAAAAAAAGCTGGGCCGGGCGCGGTGGCTCAAGCCTGTAATCCCAGCACTTTGGGAGGCCGAGACGGGCGGATCACGAGGTCAGGAGATCGAGACCATCCTGGCTAACACGGTGAAACCCCGTCTCTACTAAAAAAATACAAAAAACTAGCCGGGCGAGGGGGCGGCAAAAAAAAAAAAAAAAAAGCTTTCTTGAAATATAATTCACGTACCATTTCATTCACACATTTAAAGTATACAAGTCAATGGTTTTTAGTGTATTCACAGAGTTGTGCAACCATCACCACAGTCATTTTTAGGATAGCATTTCAAAAAGGAGCCTTGTACACATCAGCAGTCACTCCCCATACCCCCACCTCCAGGCAGCCACTAATGTACCTAACATCTTGTAGAGATGTTGATAATTCCAAGTGCCTGTTGTGGGCATTTCGTACAGCCTACGGTCTTTTATGTCTGACTTCTTTCACTTAGCATGTTTCAAGGCTCATCCATGTAGCATGTATCAGTATTTCATTCCTTTTTATTGCCAAATATTATTCCACTGTATGGATATACTATGTTGATATCCATTGCTTTAGTTGATGGGCATTTGAGTTTCTTATTCTTTTATTATTATTATTATTATTTTAGATGGAGTTTCTCTTGCGCAAACTGGAGTGCAGTGGCACCATCTTGGCTCCTGCAATCTCTGCCTCTCAGGTTCAAGCGATTCTCCTACCTCACCCTCCCCAGTAGCTGGAATTACAGGCATGCACCACCATCCCTGGCTAATTTCTGCATTTTTAGTAGAGATGAGGTTTCACCATGTTGGCCAGGCCGGTCTTGAACTCCTGACCTCAAGTGGTCTGCCTGCCTCGGCCTCCCAAAGTGCTGGGACTACAGGTGTGAGCCACCGCGCCTGGCCAAGTTTGTTAATTCTTTTAAACTCCTCCCCATTTTCATTGAATCTTCGCCCTGCCAACCCCCCTCCCATGGCCTTCTTTTAGATTATAACCTCTGCCATGCATTTTGCTAGGCATTGGGGATATAAAGATGAATAAGACATGGCCCTTGAACATTCATATAGTGTTTTATTGGTTTATATACATTTTCTCATACATTCTCTCATTTGGTCTCAACAACCCTGTGATAAAGTCAGAACATCTTAAGATGAGCAATTTGAAGTTTAGGTGACTTGCTTAGGGTTGTACACCTAAGTAATTGGTGGAGCAAGTGAGTCTTCTTAGTTCATATCTGTGCTGTTTCCACTACTCTATGCTGCTGTTTTAACTTAAAGCATCCTCATGTAATCTCCTGGAGACCTAGAGGGACTGGAAAATGTATTTACTCAAAGAATCACTTTTTTTTTTTGAGACAGGGTCTCACTCTTGCCCAGGCTGGAGGGCAGTGGTGTGATCATGGCTCATTGTAGCCTCAACCTCCTGGGCCCCAGTGATCCTCACACCTCAGCCCCCCCAAGTAGCTGGGACTATAGATGTGCACCACTATGCTTAGCTAATTTTTGTATTTTTTGTAAAGAAGTGGTTTTGCTATGTTGCCCAGGCTGGTCTCGAACTCCTGGACTCCCAAAATGCTAGGATTACAGGCGTGAGCCACTGTACTCAGCCCACTGATTTTCTTCCGGACTTAAAATGAAGATTTTTTTTCCGTGGATTCTGCTGCTTATTTGTTCTGCATTTCAGACAAATTATCATTTCATGTTTCTTTTCTTTCAGAACTCTCATGGAGTTCATGTGATGATAATGATAATAATAGCTAACATTTTTTGAGGCCTTACTATATGCCTAAAAGTGTTCTAAGTACTCTACATTCATTATCCATATCTTAAAACCCTTAATATTTTATAAATTTTATGAATATATTTTATAAATATATTGTAGATTTTATAAATTTATTTTAGTTATAAATTTTCTAAAGATGGTGGTTTTACAGATGAGGAAATGGGCACAGAGAGGTTAAGTAATTTGACTAAGGGAACATAGCTTGGAATGGAAAGAGCCAGGATTTGAACCTTTGCAGTCTATTTTCAGAACTCCGTGGCTGTTAATCACTACACCGTTCTGTTTACTGTGTTATGAATTAATAGAGGATAATATTTCAAGTAAGGACGTGACCAGAATATGAAGATTTGATTTCGAATGTAGTTGGGGAAACAGTTAAACAGCAATTTTAAGTTGACATCACATCCACTTTTCTGTTAAAAGTGGACTTACCACTACAGCGTACAAAGATACATGTTGTTTAGACATTTTTTTGTTTGTCCCTGCTTAAAGCTTCTCAGCTCAGAAATTACATTATTTTCACTGTTCTTCACTGTTGGCTTTGTTAGTCACATAGCTTTCCACGTTGCCACTATTCAGAAACCTTGGCTTGAGACAGCTAAAGCTCACTTTTACCTCTCTCCTCAGCCTTCCTTTAACTGTGAATTTTTGTTTTCCATTTTGAACAGTTAGCCTTTCAGTTCTGGAGGGAGTTACTCTTTACCTCTTCCACTCCAAAACCCAGAAAACACAGTGGCATTTTATAACAACTGTCACAAAATTTGACCATCTTAATTGGCGTAACGTGATTTTAGTGCACAAATAAGAACCAAAGCATAGTGTTTTGGTTAAAGAGATTGACTTACTCTGAAATTGGAAAAGGCATCTGCTGTACAGGATTTTTGATTTAATAGAATTTGTTATAACCAGATCAGCAGAGCATTATTACTGTGGGCCATCTGTTGGGATATGGAAATAGCTTTGTTATATGGAACCAGATGTTGTTTTTATATTTATAACAATGACATTCTGCTTATTTTAAGTAACCTTTTGTAGTTAGGTACCTTTGGCTGCTATTCTATTTGATGTGTATATCAACTGATAACCTGAGAATGTGATGTCTTTCAATTCTTCTTGGGATCTTCTTATTGTTCTATGGGATCAGGACAAAACAGATGAAACAAAAAGGAAACGAGACTCATACAGTGTCAAACTTTAGTACTATAACAAGATTAAAATATAGGAAAGGTGACCTGGCACGGTGACTCACGCCAGTAAACCTAGCACCTTGGGAGACTGAGGCAAGCAGATCACTTGAGGTCAGGAATTTGAGACCAGCCTGGTCCACATAGTGAAACCCTTTCTCTACTAAAAATACAAAAATCAGCTGGGCATGGTTGTGGGTGCCTGTAATCCCAGCTGTTTGGGAGGCTGAGGCAGGAGAATCGCTTGAACCTAGGAGGCTGAGCCAAGATCCTGCCACTGCACTCCAGTCTGGGCAAGGGAGTGAGACGTTGTCTCACAATAAAATAATAATAAAGAAAAAAGGATAAGTATGAATATGTGATATGAGATAATTAGGACCATATTAAATAAGAGCTCTGACTTTGAGACTATTAATAAAGGCCTAGTTTCTAATAATTACTAAGCCACTTGGTTGCTCTAAGAATTTTTACCATGAATCTAAAGCGATTTGATTTTGATGTAATTGGACCTACATTAATACCACACTGTCTGACTTGTTTCCCATCATCAATTGATGAAATAGTCATATTTGTAGAGTGGGACTCAAACTTAGGGTGCAATAGAGGAACTGTTTTTAGAACATAGGCTTAGAGAACTCTGTTCTGAATTGAATGCTAACCATTTGAAGATGGCTGGGTCTTTGGGTGGGAAATTTTATTTTTTTGAGACAGGATCTCGCTGTGTCACCCAGGCTGGAGTATAGTGGCTCCATGAGAGCTCATTGCAACCTCCAACTGCTGGGCTCAAGTAATCTCCTGCCTTTAGCTCCCCAAGTGGCTGGAACTAGAGGTGCATACCACCACACCTGGCTGATTTATTTTTTATCTTTAATTCAGACAAGATCTGACTGTACTGGCTCCCTAGGCTGGTCTTGAACTCTTGGCCTCTTCCTCCCTTTTTGGTCTCCCAAAGTGCTAGGATTACAGGCATGAGCCACCAGGCCAGTTCTGGGTGGGAT